CAATGACTACTAATGTAAACATTACATGTTACAGCAACCTTCCCTGCCTTGCCAACGATTTGGAAAACAGAACTTACTAATGATTTGGGAAACAGAAAACAAATGCATCAGATTTACAGATGATATAAAATGGGGAGAATGATAGAATCAAATTTCAAAAATGCAGAGTCAGAAAGACTTCAACAAGCGATAAGGATGGGCTGAAACCAATGAGATAAAATTCTAAAAAGAAATTTAAGGTTCTGTGTTTAGGTTCTAAGTGTACAGTGGTTCTCAGAGTGGGGCTCTGACCAATGTGGGGGAAATATAATTAAAAACAAAATCTCTTTCCAACTCAGAAAACTTCTCCACAAAAGTAGAAGAGAAAGAAAAGTGTTTTTTTTTTTTTTAAACTGAGTAAGCATTAATCCACTAAATCACAGGCAATCCACTAAAGAGACTGCTTTAGTGTTCATGTGATGGGACCTACCCTACATGTATGTCCTCAGGCCCATGGGCCTGCCCTCTGTCCATTGGCCCTATTATGGGTGTGTTGCAGTTTAGCCAGGAGGACCCAGAAGCAGAGGTTAAAGCCACACAAATGAAGAACCTGGAATTAAAAAGCAAGTATGAGGAACTCCATGAGAAAAATGACTGAAGATGGGAACAATCATGGATGGATTTTTAGGGATTGTACCCCAGGTGATGGAGAAGGTTCAGAAACAGTAGTCTGCCAAAACTGAAATCCAGAAGGTTCTGAAAGAAAAAGATCAACCTACTACAGATATGAACTCCATGAAAAAAACCTGGCTCTGAATTTCTCAAGAGATTTGAGAAGCAGGAGGCGATTAAAGGCTAACACAGGAATGAATAATGGCTGAAGTGTGTTGAGGACTGTACATTAAGAATTGAAAAGAAACATCAGAGACAGCAAGCATTACAGGCCCACGCAGAAGAGAAACTTACTCTAGTAAAGGAGGAAATTACCCAGGCCTGCAGAAGACCCAGGTGGAAGTGTTGGCCTTCCAGGTGAGTCTGATAAAGGAACAGATACAGACCTATTTCCTGAAGAAGACCATTCAGCAGAAGACTAAAAAACATGAACTGACCAAAATCTATACAGACCTGATTTCAGAGGTGTAAAAATGTGATGTGGAAGTCACTGACAAGTGACCTTCTCTCCCTCCTCCTGTCCATCCATATAACTATGTCTGTAAGGAAACCTCTGTATTTTCTTTTCTTTTGGTGAAAATCTAAATGAGCTTCAACAACAACAAAAAAGATAGCTGTACAGAAAATTAAGTATGAGATATTTTGACTTAGGAACATTATTTTTTTAATGCTTTTTGACTTATTAAATGATGCTGACCTTTCATTAGAAAGTCTTTGTATTCTATCAAATATGTGCTCCTGTGAGGTTTTTGAAATTTTATTTTGTGCTGGTATCCTGTAGTTTTGTTTCACTGTGGGAAAAACACTTCGAAATTTATCAGTGACTAAGACCAAGATCCAGTGTATTAGAACATATGTGCTGCAAAAGCATGGTACACAGGAGGTCATGTTGAGGTACCCAGCCTCCTTAGGAACTTTTGTAATACTAACTGGCAATAAAATAATTGCTATTACCTGTTTCTAAGCCTATCTTGCAAAAACATAATTACTGTTTTTTTCCTATGGTCTTCAGGTATATAAATTGTACATGAAAGAGGCAGTGATCAGTTTATCTTAAAATGAAGATTCTTAACTAGGAATTCAAGAATATATTTCACTGACACTATACTGGCCACCAGAATGACAAGCCTGTGAATATTTTAGGAAAGGCATGGATTTCCTCCCTAGAGGGTTTAAAGAAACCCTTTGCTTAAGAGAGGGTGCAGATCCTCCTTTTTCTCACCTTCTTTGGCCCAGTAATAGAATTACAGAATTTTGAACCAAACTTTGATGACAAAGTAATGTCTTTAATTATAGGAAACTGTGGCCTAAAAATGTAAAGTGATTTACCCGAAGTGAGGGAGTTTATATTATCTCATTTAGTATAAAGGAATAAAACCAAGTGGATACAGCTCAAAGACTGTACCATCGCCATTATTATTATTTTCTGCCAGGAGTTACATGCAACTCCAAATACCATTTTCAATAGTGAACATCGTAACTGTTCAGTCACTGTCTTCTAAGCTGCATATATTTTTAACATATATAAACCGTCGGGTGAAAAGTAAAAAAGACCTTAAAACAAGAATCAAATATGATTCTTTACAAAGTATTTTACCAGACATCAAAATATGCAATTCGAATTTTTTCTGAGAACATAATGGTGTTCTTGAAGACATAAGAAGCAGATAAATAGGATAAAATGTAACACCAAGTACAGTCAGCACTAGGCATATAGTAATGTAAGATATATATTGAAATTTTACAAGTAAATACTTTTTCCAGGTAGTGTCCAGTGCCTGGATGTCTCTGACGAAAAGGTGCAATCTGTGAGACTGCTGTGATTTCAGAACAGAAATGAAATGTGAAAAATTAAGTAAGTCCACGGGGAAAAATGTAAAATTTGGCTGCCAGACTCTCTAACCCTGGAAGCTGTCTCCTGTCCTGAGCTATACAAATCAGTGTCCAAGGGTGTGAGAAACTCAGGTCCTTCGTACGTTGGTCCTGATTTCCAAAGGCAGTCAGAAGCAGTCTTCACACATGGCAGTGACAGCGGCGTGATTATGGGAGGTCGACTCAGTTTCTAACCGGTTCCGGGGCAGTAGCTGGGTTGCTGTGCAGTGCAAAGACACAGGTTGGCGAGAACAGGGGGCGACCAAGCTTCCGAGCAAGGGTCGGAATCCAGCAGCTTGCAACTGGAGGGCTACTTGTGTAACAAAGCCACGCAGTACCAGACCGGGTTTGAGGAGTGGCTTGCTCGGGACCGGGGCGCAGCTGTCCCCCGGCACGGGGCACCCCGGCCCAGCTGTTTTTTGTAGCCAGTCCTGCCGAAGGCCCGCTTCAGCGCGTCCACGAAGCCCTCGTACTGAGCCAGGAGGGGGCTCTCCCTCTCGATGTAGGGGATCACCCACTGCTCTGCCGCTCCAGTGAGGCGGCTGATTAGAAATGCCACCTTTAGTGTGTCGTTCGAGAACCTGGCCTGGAAGAAGTTCATGTACGAAGCCGCTTGGATCAAAAAGTCGGGAAGCCGGGCGGAGTCGCCGTTAAACGCTTCGGGAAAAGCCACCGGGCCGGCCGGCGGACGCACCTGGGCCAGCAGTTTGGCTTTCTCGCACAGCAGCCGCTGCACCTGGCCCATGAGCTCGTTGTCCTCCCTGCGCAGGGCACAGGAGGTCCTGCACCAGGATGGCCAGTGCGTCCATCCCGCCGCAGCGCCGCCGGAAGTGCGTGGCGGATCGCGGGCGCCGGGGATCACCCACTGCTCTGCCGCTCCAGTGAGGCGGCTGATTAGAAATGCCACCTTTAGTGTGTCGTTCGAGAACCTGGCCTGGAAGAAGTTCATGTACGAAGCCGCTTGGATCAAAAAGTCGGGAAGCCGGGCGGAGTCGCCGTTAAACGCTTCGGGAAAAGCCACCGGGCCGGCCGGCGGACGCACCTGGGCCAGCAGTTTGGCTTTCTCGCACAGCAGCCGCTGCACCTGGCCCATGAGCTCGTTGTCCTCCCTGCGCAGGGCACAGGAGGTCCTGCACCAGGATGGCCAGTGCGTCCATCCCGCCGCAGCGCCGCCGGAAGTGCGTGGCGGCTCGCGGGCGCCCCGGCGGCGGTGCACTGCTGCTCCGCGAGCCAGACCGGGCCTAGGCACCGGTGGGCAGGGGCGCCGGGACTACTGGCCAGGGGAGCGGGAGCTGACGGGGCTGAAGCCGGCGAGTGGAGCGAGAGAAACAAACCCGAGGAGTCGAAGGCGAAGCCCAAGGAGCGAGGGCCGCGCTCGTGGAGGAATCTGACGTCATGGCGCACGCGAACACTTCCGGAGGCTCCCTCCGCGGGGCGGGGCCGCACGTCCTTAAAGGGAAAGCGGCTGGCCTGGCAGCTTCGCGGAGCGGCGGGCTGTGGTTTCCCTCGTTATTCTCTCGGGTGCTTTATAGCCGTGATGTTTGTGCAGTGCGTTCCATAGCCCTGGTTCGGTACCTGTTTTGCCCAAGGACCCCCACCTGCAAGTCTAATAAAGCCCTCCGTGCCCCCAGAGTAGATACCCTGGGGGCTCCCACCGGGACGGGATGCCGCGCCAGTGACTGGACGGAAAGCACAAGGGGCAGCTGTCACTTACGGAGCGCCCCGGATGTGCCTGGCGCCTTATATCAATCACCTCATGGAGAGTTCCGATTATGCGAAGTCGATACTGTTTCGTTTTGTTCTTTTTTTTTCCCCTGAAGACAAAACGGCAGCTCTGAGAGTATACAAACTTACTCTGGCTACAAAGCCGGTGGAACGATGGGAGGAAGAATGCTTCCTGAGTGCCAGGTGTCTGGAGATGAACTTAAACCTCGGGTGGGGGCGGGGTCGGTAGGTAGGAAAGGACCATGTTTAGATGAATGCCCTCCATGTTTATGTGAGAGGAGCGTATGCCATTGGGTCTAATTCAGGCGCTGGCTGTGAGCACTGCTTTGCTGTCATGAGACTCTGGTCCACCTCCTTTCCGCCCAGTCAGCCTCGAATTTTTTTTCCATCCGTGTGTTATGCTAGGTAAAGAAGTTTTCAGTTGTGTGTGTGTCTGCAATCAGCAATTTAAGTGATGATCAGCTCTGCAGGTTGTCTTACTGAGTAGACAAACTCTACCAAGGACCACTTTCAGGCTTCTGGGACTCAAGGTCTTTGCTCTTCTGTGTCAAAATTTGAGGCACGCAAAAGTTGACCCTGTGGACCATCGCATGCCTGAAATACCCAAGGTGGAACTGAGGGTAGAAAGAGCCACGAAGAACGATTACATTGTATACTGTTGAATATACGAATTATCCTGATTTGAACATCACGTATTGCACACAGGTATTGATATTCAACTCTGCACCCCACAGATATGTACAATCAACTCTGTTACAATTAAAAAAAAAAAAGAAAGAAAATTTCAAAAGGGGATATTGATGAGTAGTTCCGGGAATAAGAGACTCAACATTTCTTGATGAGTAATAAAATTTACTTTAAAGAACATAATTTTTGACTTTTTAGAGATGCGAACTAATACTTTCTACCAAAAAGTTTTCATTTGCCATATACATGGATATGGTAAGTTTTGATTCTGGCTTTAACTTTATTTACTTAGCATTTTACTGTGAAGACTACTTTGTATTAATAATATATTTTCTAATCAAACTGATCATGCATTTTGCCTGATTTGGGAGGTAGTTTTCTTTCCTATCAATTTGCAAGGGTTCTTTATATACTGGACGTGTGCCTTTTTTCCAGGGATGTGTGGATTGAATGCATATTCTCCAAGGTTGCAGTCTGCCTTCTAAATTTCTTTGTGTCTGTTGATGAGCAGAAGTCATCCATCTTCTCTTTTGTGTTTAACATTTTAAAATGTCTTTAAAAACAAAACAAAAAACCTGAAAAAATCTCTCCCAGCCCCCAAATCAGAAAAATATTCTCCTGTATATTTTTTTCTGTTTTAAGGTTTTGAGTGTTATGGCACCAAGGTCAAGGGTTCAGATTCCCATACTGGCCAGCTGCAAAGAAAAAAAAAAGTTTTGCCTTTTCATTTTAAGTCTTTACTCCATTTGGAATTAAATTTTGTGAGATAGAGATAGGAATGCAATTATTTTTTTTTTATGACTGATGATTTGTTCCATCAATATTTATTAAATAGTCTCTCTTGATTCACTATGCCATTGTTCTTATATGTCAAGTTTCCATGTATGTGTGAGTCTGATTCTGAGTTTTCTATTCTGTCCTACTTATCTACTCGCCTGTATTTCCCACAAATACCAAGATGTCTTAATTTACAGAGCTTTATAGTAAGTTTTTGTTTCTGGTATGACAGGTCCTCTTCTGTCTTATTTGTCTCCTTAAGGAGTGTCTTGGCTATTCTTGGATCTTTGCTCTTCTATATACATTTTAAAATTAGCTTGTGGAACTCCTATGAGTCTAATTGTCTTACCCCTCTGGCTACTTTTAAGGTACTTTCTTTGACTTTGGGGCTGGGGTTTCACTACAAAGTAGGTGAGGATTTATTTCTATTTAGCTTGCTTAGTACATTTGGGCTCCCAGTATCTGTGGACTCATGATTTTGGTTTTGAAATTTCCCAGGCATTTTATCTTCAAATATTGCTTCTCTTTCTTTCCTTTTTTCTATTTTCTTCTGCTGGGACTCATGTTACCAGTATTTTAGAGCTTTATATTACAGCCACCTTTTCTCTTAACCTCCCATAATTACCAGATCCTTGTCTCTCTGCTGCTTTGAGTAAATTATTTGTGCTATCTTCCATTTTACTAATTTTCTTCTCAGTTGCTTTAAATTTTCTGTTTAATCTATTCATTGAATTCTTAATTTCAACATTATATTTTCATTTCTAGAAGTTTATTTAATTATTTTAAAAATAAGTTCTGGTCATTTTAATAATATGTTTCTTGCTCATTTTTTATTATATTTTTTCATTGTGTTAGACTTTTCACATATAGTTGTTTTATATTTTGTGCCTGGTAATTCTAAATCTTTGGGAGTATGAATCTATTGTTTGCTATTTCTGATAGCTTGTTTCTTTGTGTTTATCATGAGTTGAAATGTGAACAATTTTCTAGCCTAAACCTTTCACCAATATGGAATACACAAATTATAACAGTCAACTGTCCTTAGTTTCCTGGCCTATATCACAGTTATTAAGTGGTAGAGCCTAGAATTAACTTCTGGCCTGTCTGACTTCAAAAGCTATTTCTTTCAATTACATGAGTGTTTTTCACACTTCAGTCATATGAATAGCACCTTCATAATTTTTGACATGAAAGTACTTCTTTAATAATTGATTAAATAATGAGTAATTGAATTAATATATTTAAAGTCTTTAGAACAGTGCCTAGCAAATAGTAAATGTTTGATGAATGTTAGCTATTATTATATTTAATATTTTCTTTAAATAAACTTCAGTTTTTAAGCTTACTTACCTACTTTACCCTTATCCTAAGTAATAGTATCTGTGACATTATAGTTTTGATGTCTAATATATTTATTTTGATACAGTTTGAGGCATATATCTAACTATTAAAAATATTTATCCAGATATACTTCAAAAATCTTTTGTACCATTAATGTTACCAGTTTTGTTACACTGATAAACAGTATTCAACAGGCACTCAATAAACCCTTTTTGAATAAATGTTTCTTTAGTCCTGTTTGTAAACGAAAGCATAGTTAATAGCTAAATGCTCATCTGAGTTTCACTCAGATCCTGTCTATGTAACTTTGAGCAATTTTCTCCATACCTTAGTTTTTCTTCTTTAAATTAAAGGCAATGATGGCTATTATTAAGTATAAAGGAGATAACGTATAAAACTTTTAACACAATGCCTGATACATAAGAAGGGCTCAAAAATGTTAAGTAGCATTATTACTTTATTTCAAAGTCTTCCTGAAGGAAACTTCTAAAACTTCAGATGTTTAACATTTGAATAATTCTCCTAGAAGCTAATAATTTACACAGGAGGTATTATTTAAAGAATTTCTCTCTTTTTTTTTTTTTGTGCATAATTTTTAAAAATTGAGATAAAATTCCATCAAATAAGAATAAAAATTTTAAAGGGAACAATTCAGTGGCGTTTCACAATCTTGTGCATTTTCATCACCCCCTCCCAAAGAAAACCTGTACCAATTAAACAGTCGTACCCCATTTCTCTTTCCTCCCTTCCCCTAGTAGCTAGTGGTTTGTTTTCTGTATGTATGGATTTTCCTATTCTGTATATTTCCTGTAAATGCAATCAAACAATATGTAACCTTTTGTATCTGGCTTCTTTGCCTTCAAGGTTCACATGTAACATGTATCAGTATTTCATTTCTTTTTATGTCTGAATAATAATCCATTGTAAGGTAATACTACGATTTGTTTACCCATTCTTCTGTTGGTGGACTTTGGGCTGTTCCCACCTTTTGGCTATTGTGAATAATACTTGTTATGAACATGAGTGTGTGTATACTTGTTTGAGTACCTGTTTTCTATTCTTTTGAGACTGAAAGAAATGAAATTGCTTGGTCTTACAGTAAATCTACGTTTTACATTTTGAGGAGCCACCAAACTATTTTCTACAGTGGTCGCGCCATCTAACATTTTTACTTGTTATTTTCCATTAAAAAACAAACAAACGAAAAACTAATACAAAAAAAATTTCCCTGGGAGAAATTCCACTTGGTCATGATATACAATCCTTTTAACATGCTGCTGGATTCAGTATGTTAATATTTTGTAGAGAATTTTTACATCTGTATTCATAAGGGACATTGATCTGTAGTTTTCTTTTCTTGTGGTGTCTTTATCTGGCTTTGGTATTGAGGTAATATTAGCTTCATAGAATCAGTTGGAAGTGTTTCCTCCTGTTCTGTTTTTTGGAAGAGTTTGAGAAGTATTGATGCTAACTCTTCTTTAAATATTTGGTAGAATTCACCAATGAAGCCATCTGATACTGGACTTTTCTGTGTTGGGAGGTTTTGTTTTGCTTTGTTTTATTTTTCAAATCACTGACTCAATCTCTTCTATAGGTCTATTCAGATTTTCCGTCTCTTCTGGAGTTGGTTTTGGTAATTTTGTGCTTCTAGGAATTTGTCCATTTCGTCTAGGTTATCTAATTTGTTGGTGTATAGTTATTCATAGTATTCTTTTATAATCCTTTTTATTTCTGTGAGGTCTTTAATGATGTTTCCATTTTCATTTCTAATTTTAGTTATTTGCATCTGCTCTATTTCTAAGTCTAGCTAAAATTTGTCAGTCTTGTTGATTTTTTATTATTTTCTTCCTTCTAGCTTTGGGTTTAATTTGATTTTTCCCCCCTAATTCCTTATGGTGTGCTATGGATTGAATTGTGTCCCCTTCTCCTCAAATTCATATGTTGAAGCCCTAATCTCCAATATGATTGTGTTTGAAAATAAGTTCATGAGGGAAATAATTACAGTTAAATGAAGTCATAAGGGTGGGGTGCTAATAGGATAGAATTGGTGTCCTTATAAGAAGAGGGGGAGACACCAAAGAGCTTTCTTGCTCTGTGTGCACGTGCACAGAGGAAAGACCATGTGAGGACACAGCAAGAAGGCAGCTGTCTGCAAGCCGGAAAGAGAGACCTAAACAGAAACCAATCCTGATGGCACCTTGATCTTGCTCTGGCCTGCAGAACTGTGAGAAAATAAATTCCGGTTGTTTAAGCCACCCCGTCTGTGGTATTTTGTATGGTAGCCAAAGCGGACATATACAAGATGTGAAGTTAGTTTATTGATTTGGGATCTTTCTTTTCTTGTAATGTAGGTATCTACTGCTATTAATTTCCTTTTGAGCACTGCTTTTGCTACATCCCAGAGGTTTGTTTGTTTGTTTGTTTGTTTTTGTTTTTTAAAATCCCAGCCAGGAGGCTAGAGTTTATTGGGAGCCACAAGTGGGCAGTCCTGGGGGTGTCTGTCAGGTGGGGCAATGTCCTGGGGTCCAGGGCTGATCAGCCTCTGAGGTCAACTCAGGATGTCCCCCAACAGGAAGCTGAGTGGGCTGGTGACCCTCAGCCTCTGACCACCACACTCCAAGGCTGTGCCTGACCTGGATGCCCTGAGAAGGCAGACTCCTGGCTTCCAGGAAGGACAGGACACGAGGTGAGAACCCTTCCTGCTCATGCGGCTCCAGGTGGCTTTTGAGCCAGACACACCTTCCATGATTCTCAAGCTCACTCCCTGGCCCGAATGTTCTGGTTAATAAGCAGAGCAGTTACTCGGCTCCCATCTGGAAGCTGTCCCGTTAGTTACCAGGTTGTGAGCGTATTTATACTTAAGACTGTTTTATCTTTGTGTTTTAAAAAGTCTATCTCTGTAGTGAACTGAAATGTTGACAGACAGAAACGCAGTTGGCCCCTCAGGGCAGGACCTGGGCCCCTCCACTGTCCTCCTCTGGCCCTTTGGTGGGTGGGGCTAGAAGGTGGCCTTCGAATATCCAAAGATGCAGATGGGGAAGTGCTTCACGTGGGAAGACCACTGGGCCTCCAGCTGGAAGAACTTGATGTAACTGCACTCCACGCAGTGGATGGGGACACTCACCACATGCTACTGG